CTGTTCATGAAGTACATCTTGAAAGGGCCTACCCGAGCTTGGAATCTGTTGGGTCATCTCCAGGCATTGATGGGTCACTGGGTAGGACTTCAGTCCTGCTAAAATGGCAAGTGTTATATTATCCATTTGGCAGATGAGGAAACATTCAAGAAAATGACTCTAAATTGGTTTCGCAAGGATTGACATTTCCCCTATATTTGCTTGACCCAGCCATGAAGCAGGAGTTATCCCTCAATTTCTTCAGGGTTTTTTTTTTTTTTTTTGGCTGTCTCTTTAAATCTCTTGGGAGAAGCCACAGAATTTGAGTCTGAATGCACTTACTGCATGCATGACTTGGGACAGGTCACTTTAATCTCTCTGAAACACTGGCAAAATTAGGGTGTTGGAATGGATGACCATAACTCCATGATCCCATGGTGTTTATGACTTCCCAAGATCATTTCAATAATAAGCATTTATTAAAAAGCCTACATAGGGCAGGGCATGATGTCAAGTGTTGAGGGGGCAATAGTCTTTGCCCTCAAAGACCTCACAGTCTAGTAGTAAGGAAATCCATTTACACATGAATACCTATGAGAGAACAGAGTCAGAGCCCAAATTTAGGTTTTCCAATTCCAAATCCAACGTTCTTTATGCAGGGGTAGAGTAGCAATGATAAGAATAGAGAGTATACCTGTGATTTACTGCTATAGGGAACTCCCAGGTGAGTCTCACCAACTCCCTCCACCAATTCAGGTCAGCACATTCTCCTGCAATTCAGAGTTGTAGAGCATTGCCTAGAATACTTGATCTTGCCCTGAATTACAAAGCCAGTTTGTATCAGGAGCAGGGTTTGTACCAAGTGTGAGGCCAGTTCTCTACTAACTTTTGGGAATGATACACCTGAGAGCATTAAATTTATAGTCAGAGGCCTTGGGTTTGAATCTTCTCTCTGACCTGTGACAAGTCACTCAATTTCTCTGGGTCTCGGGGTTTGTTGTTACTGTTGAGTCGTGTCTGACTCTACTTAACCATGTTTGGGGTTTTCTTGGCAAAGATACTGGAATGGTTTGCCATTTCCTTCTCCAGCTCATTTTACAGATGAAAAAACTGAGGCAAGCAGGGTTAAGTGACTTACCTAGGGTCACACAGCTAGTGTCTGAGACTGGATTTAAACTTATGAAGATGAGTCTTCCTAATTCCTGGCATGGCATTCTATCTACTGTGCCACCTAGTTGCCCATAGGTCTCAGTTTCCTTATTTGCAAAGTGAGGAGGTCCCTTCCAGCTCTAAACACCTGATCTTGTGACCTGGCCCTATGATTGAAAGGCTCTGTGTTTGTTTTAAGAAATTCCAGAGTGCTTTGTCCTCTCTCATTCCCATAGCCTTGGGCTCCACTTTGCTTAATGACATTTTGCCCTAATGCCTTTACTAGAAGGGGGGTGGGGGTGGGAAATGAGCAAGGATGAATCATCTGCAGGAAATATGTGTGTTAGGGAAAAGAGGGGAAAGGGCTGTTTCCCTGGAACAGTAAGTGCCTCCCTGACTGGATGGGAGCCATTCCTTTCTAATTGTACATCCACTCAGCAGTGGGGAGCTGCGTCTGCCTTTCAGGTAACATCAGGTAAATCTACTTGGGCTTTCTTCTTTCTGCTTCCTTCCCTCTCTTCCCCCACCTCACCAGATCCACACCCCACTGGAAAGGTAAACGCCCTCCCTCTCACCCCCCAAGTCTCGACTGAATGATTCTAATCACTTTCCTGACATTAGCCAATCTCATTATGTAGTCATAAAAGATTAGCAAATAGCAGCAGTGGCTTTGTGGATGCTTGGTTTTTTTCCCCTCCTGCTCTATTGTTCGGGTTGGGGAATCTGAGGGTATGTAAGTAGAGTTAGTCCTTGTTTTCTCTCTCTGCTTGTGAAAGGGAAAGCTTTCTGCACTCCCCTGGTACTGCTAGGCAACTGGCAAACCTCTAGAACAAGTTTTTGTTTTTGTTTGCTTTTTTAAAAAATTGTTGTTTTGCTGGAAGCATTCTGTGAAGTCTTAATTTTTTTTTAATTTTACTATTTATTTTAAAATATTCTTCTCTTTTTTAAATTTTGAGTTCCAAATTCTCTCCCTCCCTCCCACCCTTCCCCCACCCTCTTAGAAGGCAAGCAATATGATAATCAATTATGTATGTGGAATCATGCAAAACTTATTTCCCCATTAGCCATAATTTTTAAAGAAGCAAGAAAAATAAGGAAAGTGAGAAAATTACAGACTTCAATTTCCACTCAGAGTTTATCAGTTCTCTCTCTGGAGGCGGATGGCAGTTTTTCAGCTTGGTCCCTTCGGAATTGTCTTAGATCACTGTATGCATCAGATTAGCCAAGTCTTTCACAGTTGATCATCATTACAGCATTCTTAAATCTAATCATTCACAAGTCTGGACATCTCTGTGATGTCACTTAAGGGAAGCTAGGTGGCCGGTAAATACAGTACCAGGCCAGTTCTGGTTCTGAGTTCAAATCTGACCTCAGACACTTACTAGCTATGTGACCCTGAGCAAGTCACTTAACCCTGTTTGCCTCAATTTCTTCATCTGTGAAATGAGATGGAGAAGGAAATGGCAAGCCACTTCAGTATCTCTGCTAAGAAAACCCCAAATGGGGGTCACAAAGAGTCGGACATGACAAAAACAATTCACCAACAACAGATGTCCACCAGCACACCTCTGCCTACAGCCATCGCAAACTCAACGTGTTTAAAATGAAACTCCTCATTTCGTCCCCTAAACCAGACTTTCCTCCAAATTTTCCTGTTTCTTACATCATCCTTACAATCAGTCACCCAAGTTTCCAACCTCAGAATCATTCCTGTTTTTCCTCTTCCTCACTTGCTATATGTCCAAGTCTTGATTAGATTTCCACAGCCTCTCTCAAATCTTCCTCCAGACTCAGACACCACTCTACTTCAGGTCCATCACTTACTGCACAGATTGCTACAAAAGCCTCCTGATTGGTCTCCCTACCTCATTGCTAATCCATTCAGCTGCCAAAATAATTTTCCTGGCCAGTTGGTCAACTGGCCGGTGAGCTCCAGTCACTCAGTGAATAAGCCCTTCTGCGTCTTTGCATGGATCAGCTATTGGTGATGTTGGGCACTGGATGATACGGTAGCTGACCCTGTCTACATCTAGGTATGGTAAGGCCAAGTCCACTCCCTGAAGACTTCTATGGTCTCCTCATCCTTGGGACTTGTTCACATGGTTATAGCTTTAAAGTGGGAAGGGATGCCAAGGACTCATCCTACTGAGCCTACATGAAAGTCCTATTGGAATGCCTCATCCTGGCATGGAGGTGGCCCTGGGCTTTTCGCCATGTCAATGGAGCTCAAGTACTGACAGTACTACCCTCTGTAAAGGTCTCCAGGATAGGCCTGGAAACGGACTGTGTCTCTGGGAGTAAAAGGATCAGTCTCATTAAATTCACAGAGATCTCATCACTAGAAGATTGGTCAGTAAGTTAATGTTTTTGGTCCCAGGAACTCATTAAGTTGTCGACTAAGATGTAGAAAAGTTACGGTCTACTCAGGAGTACAAAGCAAGAAGGAACCTCAAAAAACAGAAACTTAGGCCACCCCTCTCATTTGACTGCTGAGGGAATGAAGACAGGAAGAGATCAAGGGACTTGCCCAAGGTCTTCATGCAAGAAGTAATTGAGGTAGGATTCGAACCCAGGTCCTCTGCCCACAGAGGCAATCTTTCCACTATACCACATTGTTTCTCTGCATTAGCAAAAGAAATAACCGTACCAATGAAATCTTAAATCTTCTGAAGCCTTTTGTTAATGAATAAATTATGGACAATTCTTGGCTCTAAATTAAGCACAGGCGGTGAAGGGGATAGTTCACTGGGCTTGGAGTTAAGAAAACCTGAGTTCAAATCAAGCCTCAGACACCTAGTGCCTGTGACCCCGGGCAAGTCACTTCTTGCCTGTCTCAGTTTCCTCAACTGTTAAATGGAGATACTAACAGCACCTACTTCCCAGGGTTGTTGTGAGGATCAAATGAGGTAATATTTGTAAATCACTTAGCCCACAGCAGGTGCTTAAGAAATGTTTGGTCCCCCCTCCCCCTCCTAAAGCTTAAACCTGGCTCTGGGAACCTCAGAGCATCACATCAAAGTAAACCCAGTATTCATAGACTCATAGATGTAAAAACCATTTCCCTCAGATTTTCTTTCTTCTTCTTTAATCAAATCCAACTCCCTAATTAAAAAAAAATAACATTCATTTGTCAATAGTTTTCATCTAGCTCTTCAGAACAAAGCTTTAACATTCAAAACTACTAAAACAGAGAAATAAATTAAAGAGGAGACTGTGTTTTATGTTCCCTAACTTGCCTCCAAAATACACCGTAATTCTGAGCTTAGCCTTGTTTCCCAGGAGACACCACTGTGGAGGGCAGTGTGGCTAAGGAATATTTTTCCCCACCCAACCTTTGGGGAGTGAGTCGAATTGATTGTCTCTGACCTTTTCTATCTCAGCTACAAGAGCCAACTCAGAGTGTTGCCTTCTTTGGGGGTCCCAGCCTCTATTCCCCTACCCTTTTATTATCTGGACAACAGGGAAGCCAGAAAAATCCAAAGACCACTGGTGCAGAGTGGTCTGAGAGCAGGGAGATAGATTAGTTTATGGGAGTTAGTGGGGGGTTTTTTTTGGCCCAGGGAAAGGGGCCAGGCACCACAAAATGATAAAACTTCAAAATGCAGATTATTAATAAAATTCATAAAGCTCTGAACCCCCAGGCAATTCTTTTGATCACCAGGCTAAAAAGGAGGTTTCCTTGGCCAATTAAATTTGGTTTAATGAATTGCTCATTGGTTTCCCCCACCCCTTTATCGACATTCAGCAGAAAAAAAATGCCAACTCAGAATGCAATTAGAATGATCTTATCTTTATCTAGAAAAAGCACCATTAAAAGTATGAATAACCAGTAAGCAAAATTTAAAATAGCAAAGAAACATTTAGTAACTAACCAGGATCCACACAGCCGTTGTTCAGTCGTGTTTGACTCTCTGTGACCCCATTTGGGTTTGGTTTTTTTTGGCAAAGATCCGAGAGTGATTTTCCATTTCCTTCTCCCACTCATTTTACAGATGAAGAAACTGAGGAAAACAGGGTGAAGTGACTTGCCCAAGGTCAGACAGCTAATAAGTGCCTGAGGTTACATTTGAACTCAGGTCTTCCTGACTCCAGCCCCAGCATTCTATCCACTGCACCAACAGCTGCCTCTGAAGACTTAGTCTCCTGGAAATAATCCTCCCCATTTGTTTCTGCCACCACTCACTCTCTCCCTGAATCTCCCTCCAATGAGATTTAAAACTGCTGCCGCAACAGAAAAAAACCTCCCCTCTCCAGTTCTGTCACTGTCATAGCTTCATCTCTTCTGAAAGGGGAAACAAGTGCAACGCCCAAGATCTTTAGTCCCTTAGTACCCCTGGCGAGGCAGCCCGTTCAAGTCTTGCCAAAGGGAGTCATTCCACTATAAATGATGGTCAAAAATTACAACAGGCAGCTTTCAAAGAAAGAAATCCAAACTACCAAATATAGAAAAAGATGCTCCAAATCTCTAATAATTAGAGAAATGCAAACTAGTGGACTGAGAGGTTAAGTAGTTTGCTTAGAGTTACACAGCCCTGCCTCATATCCATTAGACAAAAACAAGAAACGAAAATGACAGCTGTTGGAAGGGCTCTGGAAACTTTTTTTAGGTAATATTTATTTAATTTCTCAATTACATCTAAAGACAATTTTTAACTTTCATTTTTTTTTAAACTTTGAGTTCCATATTCTCTCCCTTCCACTCTAATGTCCACAATTTGACGTAGGTTATACGTGTGCAATCAAGCAATGCATTGTTGATGGAACCCTGAATTCAATCTGTCATTCTGGAAAGCAATTTAAAACTATTCCCCTCCATGTCATTAGCCAGTGCAAACCCTTTGACCAATCTACATCACACACAGGCCCATACCATGTGGAGAAAAATATACATATATGTACAAAAATATTTACAGCAGATCTTTTTGTAGTAGGAAAGACCTGGAAACTTAGGATTTATTTATCTATTTCTCTAGTGAGGAAAGGTTATGCAAATTATAGTATATGAATGCAAGGGAATATTATATTATAATATGGGGCATATTATATAATCACATATTATATTATATCATAAATATATATGTATGTTGTTCAGTCATTTCTGACTCTTTGCAACCCCATATGGGGTTTTCTTGGCAAAGATACTGGAGTGGTTTGCTATTTCTTTCTCCAGTTTATTTTACAGATGCAGAGTTAAGTGACTTGCCCAGGGTCACACGGCTAGGAAGTATCTGAGGCCAGATTTGAACTCATAAAGATGAATCTTCCTGACTCCAGGCCTGGCACTTTATCCACCTGGCTGGTCATATATATGTACAAGAAATAACGAAATGGATGGTTTCAGAGAAAACTTGGAAGACTTGAACTCATGAAGAATGAAGTGAGCAGAACCAGGAGGACCATTGATACAATAACAACACTATAAAGAAACACATCTTTGAAAGACTTGAGAACTCTGATTAATGCAATGACCAGTCATGAGTCAAGAGGACTGATGATGATGATGCATGCTACCTGTCTCTTGACTGAGAGATGATGGGCTCAAGATTCAGGATAAGACCATGTTTTTAAACAGAAAATGCGTGAATTTGTTTTGCTTAACTAGGAATATTTGTTACAAGATTTTACTGAATCAATATGTGATCCACAAGGAAGTTTCTCTGACTCTACTGCTCCTGGGGGACCTGTCCTGAAAAGTAGGGGAGAAAGTTGCCCCAAGACACTATGTTTAAAGCATTTTCCTCTGTGGGATTGTTTCAGTTGGGCTGTCTTCTTAGAAAGCATCTTAGCTTTTTTTTTTTTATCATGAGTGAATCTTGCCTATATCTTCCCACAGAGGGCCTCCAAAGAAGACTTAACCCAACACACAGGATGCCTTCAGCTGGTACTTTTCATATTTTCATGAATAACCTGAATCATAGAACCAGATCTGAAAGGGACTCAGAAGCAATCTAACCCAACCATATCACTTTACAGATGTGAAAATTGAAATCCTAAGAAACCTGTCCAAGGTTTGATCTAATAAACATCAGAGACAGAATTTGAACTCCTATCTTTTTAACTCTAATGCTCTTTCCACTTATATCATACAGCCCCTAGTTGTGGCGATCAAACTGGGCATCTATTATTCCTCCCTCTGGCTATATGGCCAGCCTGCCTGCCTTCCTGGTCATATGTGCTAGTATGCTATATCATACTAATATATCCTAATACTTATCTTACATCTTTCCCTTGACTTTTGAGTCACCTGTTGTTTTGATTCTTGTAAGAACATTATATGATTCGTAGTTAAAAAACGAGCCTAAACAATTATTTGTTTGTGTGTTTTTAAAGACTGGGCATTCGTAGCTGGTAATCAGTTAGGACCATTGCACAGTTTTACAAATGCTATTCAACATCCTCTGTGAAACCTCTTCACTTCCAGGCTTGGCATCTTTTCCCCTCTGCAATCCCCATATAAGATCAATGTGCTGTTGGACTAATTCACTGGATTGCTTAACCAGTGGCAAGTCATTATCTGAGCAATCAGCACTGTTATTCACTTCTTTAGTTTAGTTTTGCTTTGCTTCCTGTGTGGATTCACAGAATTTAAGAGTTAGAAGGGACCACCTAGTCTAATCATGCTGGTAAAGTAGTAATCCGACCTCCCAGCTGGGGAATGCACTATTTCCCAATGCTGGATGGCTCCAGTTGTTAGGAAGTTTGGGGTTTTTTATTTGATTTGGGTTTTGTTTTTGTTTTTTCTTTTTGTCTCGACATCAAGTCAAAAATTATCTATTTGCCACTTCCACCTGGTTCTGCCTTCTGGCACCATGTAGAACAAGTCCATTTTTATCAGTGTCTCCCTCACAAAATAATCTTGTATATATTTTGCATAGGCTTACGTGTACCATTTATCTTCCCTGGTAGAATGGAAGCTCCCTGAGGACAGGCAAGGTATCGTTTCAATTCTGCCTTCGTATTCCCAGCACCAAGCACTATTCTTCCATGGCAATCTGACTCCATTTTTACAATGAAAGACAATGGAAAGTCGGGGTCCATTTCTTTAAAAATTTAAAAATTTTGTAAAGAAAGTTGCTTTACATCCAACATTGTTAAAATACTTTTACTTGGAAAACTGTAATAGAAATGACATTTCTGAGCTGAGAGTGCTCAGCATTTCCAGGGAGGCTTTCCTCCAAAGAGCACTTACTGCCACTCTCACTTAAAGAAAAGTGAAATCACAGTGAGATGAAGGAGTATTACAACCCTCAGGAGCTCTATGAGATGGGTGTAAAAAGCCCATGTCAGAGTGCTTTTTGTTTGGGGGCAGAGGGGTGGGGGGAAGGCAATGAGAGAGAGAGAGAGAGAGAGAGAGAGAGAGAGAGAGAGAGAGAGAGAATGAAAAGGAGATAGACAGAGAGAGAGAGTGAGGTGGGGGAAGGTGAGACATACAGAGACAGAGAAAGGGGTAAGGACATGGACAGACAGAGACAGACAGATTGAGAAAGATAGTCACAGAGTAAGAGAGCAAAGGAGAGACAGAGAGGGGGAGGGGGGGGGGGGGAGAGAGAGAGAGAGATTTCCTTCTTCTTCCTAAAAATGAATAAATGACTTGATGAACAGTATCACAGCTTTAGCCCTGAAAGGGACCTCATCCATCACCCTCTTTTTACAGGAGGAATAGCAACTCACATTTATAATACTTTCAGGTTTAAAAACGCTTTTCTCATAGCTGCTCTGTGAAGTCACTGTTGAATTGTTTCAGTCGCATCTGACTCTTCATGACCCCATTCGGAATTTTCTCAGCAAAGACACTGGAGTGGTTTGTCTTTCCCTTCTCCAGCTCATTTTACAGATGAAGAAACTGAGGCAAACAAGGTTAAGTGACTTGATCAGGGTCTCACAGCTAGTGAAGTTAGTACTGTTATCCCTATATTACAGATGGGGAAACTGAGGCTAGTTTAAGTGACTTGTCCATGATCCTATGCTACAAATAAGTATCAGAGGCAGTATTACAACCTAGGTTTGTAGATCTAGGTCTGTTGCTCTATCCACAACGCCAACTTGCCCCTTCATCTTTCTTAGGATTGAGACTGAGAGCTGGAAGGGACCTTAAAGCCCATTAAGTCCAACCCCTTCACTTTACAGATGAGGACATAGAGATTGAGAGAAGTTTAGTGACTTGCCCAGGATCATACAGCTAATAAAGATCTAAGGCCGGATTGGAACTCAGGTCTTCTTGACTCCAAATTCAACCCAACCTTCTCTACACTGGGACAGATCAATAAAGTTGTCTTTATCATTACCTGAGAATGCCAGTTAGTGCAGAATCATCTTAATAACAGTCATACTTAATACTTTTCACATTTCCTTGTAAATTGATTATAATGATGAAAAACCCACCAGGAACAGTTGGGAATGGAAAAGTCCATTTCCAATGTGATTTTAAGAAATCAATCTTATTACAGGCCAGGTAGTTATAAGCTTATAGAGTGAAACCAGGACTGGGCACTGGGGCTTTGTCCCAGGGTACTGATACCTGAAGGGAATGCACTTTCTCTCCCTAAGAAGACCTCAACCGTCATGGGACCACTAATTTCTGCAAACTGGCTTATTCACTGGCCACCAGCACCTTCCCCGCAACTGTTATTGTAAAAATTTCTACTCACCCCTCTGCAAATATGAAAGAGCAACCCCATTGTTTCGTCTCTTTGGGACCCCCAATTTGAGTCAAACATTTGGTGTACAGTGAGTGGGAGAAGCTCTTGCCAAATGAGTAGAGAAAGCATTTATCTTGCATTAGCCAGGCTTCAACTCACCGAAATATCCCCCCTGGTCTGCCTTCTATCTAGAAACCTAGAACATTTCTTTGATAAATTCTGTTGACATCTTCACCCATCAACTAGGCACAGATCAATTTCTAAAGCAGAAGCAACTTCTGCATATGAAAAGATCATAGCAGTAACTAGTTCTTTGTGATCCTATAAA